TCTAGACACCACCCTGTATTATTGAGCTTACCCAAAAGTAGGCGTGCCAAATTGGTGGAGGCGCCGGGCAGTTCCGGGTAAATCAATGTGAAAATTAACTAAATTTAACGTTCGGATTTTGAATCGAAAACTGTGAGAAGTGATAGATGTCAACCAGGCTCAAGACCAGAATCATCCAGGAAAAATCTGAGGACGAACAGCGAAATACAGTGAACGAAAGTACATATCAGACTCTGAAGAAAGTTCAGATTCTTCAATTTATTCTCAGATTAGAGAAGAAGAGGATCGTGAACAACATATCAAGACATGCCAGATACTACTGAAGAAGTCTACACCTCGGTGAACCCGATAGTATTTGCCAGTAAGCCACATGTGAATGTACAGGCTGTCCCAAACTGGATGCGTTCTTATGGGAACACCCCTTTGTTGTTCTAAAAATTGTTGAGATGGAAAAAAATTAACCTATGTGTCCGGAGCTTAAATTCAATAAGGAAACTACTGGCGCAAACGAGACTTTGCTATCTCTTATCGTTTGGCCGCCAGAGGGCTTTTCTCGAAATTCGTTGATTTCTTCAATGCCCCATAACTTTCTTATTAATGAAGATAATTCATTTTGGTAAAAACATTCCCAAAGCACTTTTTTCCATAGAATCTATTGAGATGAGAAGTTTTTCTACTGGGCGTTCAGATTGCTGTGCACCATCCCAAACTCTGTTTTTTTAAATAGACCACCCTATATATTATGATATTTTTGAGAAGCTCGTAAAATTTCCTACATTTTGATGTATCACTCGTCATGTTTATCTCAGAAACCATCAGCAACATTACGATTTAAAAATTAAAATATTGTGCCTACAGAAATCAAGATTGCCCTGACTAATGAAATGACATAGGATGCTAACATGTTATAGTTGAAACCACCGATCTGAAGTTTTTACGTAAAGAAGCAGTAGGCCGTGATCATGATTATTCTGTTTTCGCTGTTTGATATTTTGGTATTTTCGGTAGAAAATAAGTATATTATTCATAATGTTTTTGAAGAGTTTCAAGGAATGTATGAAAATTACGAAAAGTTCAACATGCTTGAATGTTACATAGAAAGTGACAAAAATGCTCAGGCGGCAGAAAACTTGTATTTCCAAAGATATCCCGAGCAAAACTTCCACAAGAAATCTTGAAGCAGAGACTCGCATACCCAGAAGCACAATCGATCGGATTTTGGAAAAAAATAAATTCAAGCCTATGATTCAAGCCCTATCGAACTCGCAAAATCCATCATCTTCTTCCTGGGGATTTGGATAGAACTCGTTTTTGTCAGTGGTATTTGAATAAGATACAAAATGAACCAGATTTCGCCATAAATTGTATTTGGACCGACGAAGCTTCGATTAGTAGTGCGGGCATATTTAATCGATTTAATGATTACACTTGGTCTCAAGAAAATCCCCATGTGACTGTTCAAAACAGACAACAAGGAAGTTTCAGTTTAAATGTGTGGGTAGGAATTTTCAGAGGACAATTCATTGGACCCTATATTTATGATGGGCCGCTGAATTCTAGAGAATATTTTGATATTTTAAGGACCGTTCTTGGAAGATATTCCTATTAATCTGATACTCAGAGTAGTTTTCCAGCACGATTGTGCCCCTGCACATTGTGCAAGGATTATCAACGATTACCTCAATGTCCAGTTCGGTGAGAAGTGGATGGGAAATCAAGGGCCCATACAATGGCCTGCCCGGTCATCGGACCTGACGCCCTCAGATTTTTTTCTTTGGGGTAGAATTAGAGACTTAACTTATAAAAATAATAATTTTAATAGCCGGGAAGAATTAGAAAGGGTGTTGCGAGGTGCGTTTAACCGAGTTCTAAATATTTACCAAAAGATGTAGAATTTGCCTTCAACAAAATGGGGGACCATTTGAACATTTGCTGACATAATTTCATTATGTTTGTGTTTATGTTTATTCAATATCGTTGATTAAGTTCCATATAATTTTATGTTAGGATTTAGTGTTAGTGTAATATTGTTGGTTTGTTGTTGTTGTCCTTTGTATTTTAAATAATTATAAATTCATTATGATAACTATGAGTAATTTAATCATGAAACTTCAGATCTGTAGTTTTAATCATAACATGTTAGCATCCTATGTCATTTCATTAGTTAGGGCAATCTTGATTTCTGTAGGCACAATATTTCAATTTTTAAATCGTAATGTTGCTGATGGTTTCTGAGATGAACATGACTAGTGATACATCAAAATTCAGGAAATTTTACGAGCTTCTCAAAAATATCATAATATATAGGGTGATCCATTTAAAAAAACAGAACGCCCTGTAGAAAAACTTCTCATCTCAATAGATTCTATGGAAAAAAGTGCTTTGAGAATGTTTTTACCAAAATGAATTATCTTCATTAATAAGAAAGTTATGGGGCATTGAAGAAATCAACCAATTTCGAGAAAAGCCCTCTGGCGGCCAAACGATAAGAGATAACAAAGTCTCGTTTGCGCCAGTGGTTTCCTTATTGAATTTAAGCTCCGGACACCTAGGTTAATTTTTTTCCATCTCTTCAAATAAGGGGTGTTCCCATAAGAACGCATCCAGTTTGGGACACCCTGTACAGGCTGTCCCATTTTTTTTTATTTTTTTTTTTTTTCGTTTGAATTGACTCGGCCCGTACCGATGTCCTCACGGGATAACTAACTTATTTTCGAAGATAGAGTTTTGAAGTTTTCGCGAATGCTGGCTATTTTTTTGTGAAACTCACGATACTTCAAACGGAATTTTCATAACTCCCTTCGTTTTGAGATACAGGGCGAAATTGAAAATGTTACATCTTGGGACCCCCCTTGTAACTCAATCATCTTTCAACTTATGGGAAAAGTAAAAACTGACTTCTACACATTTTTCCACGTACAATCCAGTGGCGAACTCAGATTTTCGAAATAAGTCAAAATTATGCAGATATAACCCAAAGTTATGTTTTTTTGAATGGAACACCCTGTATGTATTTTCTCATATTTGAAACAATAGTGCTTAGCGCTTTCCAAAAATGTGTAACACTCATATGAAATTGTGGGTATTACCCATAAAATTAGATAGTTTCTAGTATTTCAGTGGATTTTTCATCGATGGGCCTTGTCTCGGGCCTTGCAAATAGGTGGCAACATTGTCCATATCACAAATTTTCATATTGAATTTATCCCTGACACAATTTTTGTCACACACTAGTTTCAATTTCATTCAACATTTACAAGAATTCAGCACTATTTACTGCGAGATTTACTGACTATAAAAGCTGTGGACCTTATTAGAAGGTGGCTATGGAAAAAAAGCTGTCGGAATTTTTCATACGATGGTGAATATTAATCCCGGAATGAAAACTACTGAAAATTAGATATGGTTGGGATTATCATTTGCTGTTGCATGAAAATTTTGAAAATTCGACAGGTAGGTGACAAATATCATGAAACATTCTGCGCTTTTTTTTGTCATAGCCACCTACTGACAACACTGTATCAGCAACGAAATGGATATGAAAATTCGAGATATGGACAATGTTGCCACATATTTTCAAGACCCTTCGATGAAATATCTATTGAAACACAAAAAATTATCCAAACTCATGGCTGAATCTTGAAATTTCCCAGCATCAGTGTCATATATTTTCAGAATGAATATCGATGGGGAAGTTTAGTATATTGAGGTTCTTATCCCACTGTGAAGTTAAAAACTAATGTATACGTATTTTTTCTTTTTATCGTAAGATCAAATTTCACTTCAGAAAGAAATAAATAAATAAGGAATCTGGCTCCTCCACCATTCCTATGAACACGTACTTTCTGAAAATCCACATTCACAAAAAGTTAAAATACGATTCCCTGTGCCAGTACGACGTTGCCGACATCATCTATATGTTTAGATTTCCGGAAATTGTTCTTTGAATGCATAATAACTATATCATAACAGCAATGATATACAGGGTGTCCGCTAAAAGGAGGTCAATCCATTAACCATATATTCCTTGAACAAAAACGATATGAGTTTCTAAATACCATTTTTCATTTTAGCCCTTCATATTCGATATACAGGGTGTCAAAGTTGGAGATTAAAAACTGTTTCTTACTAATTACTCGCGTATTTAATGAGATATTAATCTCAAAATTGGTATATCACTTCAGCACAAAGAGTTATATCGTGTGAGGAGAACAAAACAGAAAACAACTGTCAAATATTGAAAATACTGGGGGTCAAGTACACACTTAACCGAGCACTTAACCGCATATTTTTTTGTACGTGCGCTAATGACTTCCTTTCTATTTTTTTTTTCAAGTGTTCAATCATTTTTGAGTATTTTTTGTTTCCTGTAAAATTTCGATAAAATTATTTGTTT